CGGTGGGGAGTATACATATAGTTGTTACTATATAGTTCAATCATCCTATCTCCAGCTCTGAATATTTCATGGGGATAATTATAGTCAGGCAAGTTGACTTTATATTTTTTTTATGCTAATCCTGTTATTTTTGTAATGAAGAAGAAACTCAATAATAATAGGAAAAAAAAATTATTTTTATTGAATGATAATTTGTTTTGTTGAGCCTATTGCGAAATATCTGAATCACCTTGAGTATTTAACGAGAGTTCAATGTATCACTTGTTTCAAATCCTCTGAACAAACCCGATCCAAAAAGCCCCCTCGTTCTCCTTCCTTGAAACCGCTAAAATAAAAAAATCAACAATCAATCTTGATTGAGAAAAAAAAATCGGTAATCTGCACTCAAGCTCAAGTTCAATACAAAGTTGATAATTATGAGGTCACGATTTTCTCCGCTTCACTGCATTCATACTTTTATCGATAACTACATTTACGTTTATTACGCTGTTTTAATGCATTCTCCCCAAAGTTGGTATCGACCGTCTGATATCGCCTCTGATCCACTTCATTCACAAATTCGTGATAAATCCTGACGGTCTTATCAATTGTCTACCTTGAAAATTAACAGCCCTGCGGAAATTTTTTCGAAAATCAAACATGACATTGAAACAAATAAATGCCATTCAGCGAAATGAATGATGTTCTCGATCAAAATCAGTCGCAAATTCCATTTTCTCTCCATTAATAGCGATGAAAAATCTTGTTTATCTATCTATTTTCGTCCCCATATCTCGATATTTTGACAAGTCAAGTGGCAAACATTTTCACTTCTATTATTAGAATTGGTCATATGGTGTTAATAGTTGTAATGAGAGTGAAGTAAATCACATATCGTGATTGAAATTTCAACCAACAAGTCTCAAGGTCTTCAATCATTTGCTCGATGACAGCCATGATTTTTTGACTTATTAAACCCCTCAAACCCCCTTTTTACAGATTTATGTGATTAAGAATACGAAAATATTTACCCCATTAATCACTCGGTCTCACACATGCAAATTATCTCGCATACGTATTTAAATTTTCACACGTAACGCAACTCTATTTTGTCTTTTTTTAATGCCTCACGTGTTTTTAACCGGCACAATTATCTTATCTATATCGCACTGCACTTCATTCAATGAACATGTATGAAATATTCACTTTATCGAGGACATATTAAGGAACAAAAAAGTTGTTACGAAATATTCTGCGAGAAGTGTTATGCAAGAGGGCATAAATTTGAAGAGACTCCGGACATTTCTTGTTCTTGGTCGTAAAACTGGAAAAATTAATTGCCAACGGAAACTAAATGTTTCGTCTCCTATTTATTTATTGTCGACTTATTCATCCTGTGATAATTGGAGACTATTTTACGTAGAAAATCCCAGGTTTTGCAATGAATTCTTGTTATTTTACTCATTCTTTCGACTGTGATGTATTGTTTTTTTTTTTTTTCGTGAAATATCCATATCTATTTTTAGAAAAATTTCCTGAAAACAAAATGTAACTACTGATTTTTAGATAAATGAAACCGATAGTTATCATAATGGAGCAGATATTTGTAAAAAGGGAGTTGGTAGAATCGTTTTAACATATATCATGCCATATCAGAGAGATAAAAATATCATTCAGTGATAACTTTTAATGTTCAAAGGGGAAATGTTGGAAAATGGGGAGAGGTTACGAAATGGTTACGAAAAAAAAACGACCTTTAATGCTCATTCGACGAGTTTTATTTCCGCCTGGCTAGAGGATGATTTCAATGTGCATTTTACCCTCAACACAATGCTCCAATACATTTCTCAGGAAAAGACAATTTGGTCGCCTGGTTATTGCCTCTCCCGGGTATTGCCAATTCACAGAATACGTATTTCCACCTCAAAATGACTTTATTCGTTCATATTTTTACACAAATTTGTATATACCCTTAGCTCATTTCTCAGAATAATATTATTCATTATTTATACACATTTTACATTTTCGTTATTATCGTCGTATTCACGTCTCTGATGTAACTTCCCCTGAAATATTCCATATTGATTTGCTTATTTATTCATCCCTTCGTTCTCATGATACACCCCTTGGAAATAAACACTTTATTCATCGTTACAATCAGTTGATGAAAAATAATCCTAAAATTCGCATGGCAATCTATTCTAATTTAACGACACCCTGTCTTCTTATTAATGTTTTTATCTCGTTATCGTTTTATTCGCATTATTTATCTTTTATTCATCATTCAATATACAAAATGTTCTGATTGCTTCACGATTTCTAAAAAATCTAATTCTAAGGATGATGCAATGTTATCAATCGTCATTGGCGTTTCTTCGGTTCTTCAATGATTAACATTTGAAAAATATTCAATTGTGTTTCTTATCGCAATGATTTTTATTTTTATTATTCTCATTTTTCTCTTAAATAAACGCGTGGAAAAAATTGTGATTATTTCATGGAATTGTGAAGAAAAATCATCACGTTCTGGTCGTTGAATAAACTTTTATCCTGAAGAATTTTTTGTTGTATCATCGAGAGAATGTTTGGTTGTTTTTTTCTTTTTTTTTTTTCAATAAAATTCTGTCGATTTTTTCCACACGTGATATGTTAATTACCACTTAATTAAATTATTTACTAATGGAGGGGTGATAAAGCGAAGGAAAAGAAGAGCGAAATGGAATTGGCAAATATAAAAAATAGAATTGATCATTTTCCAATTCCTGATTACTTGGATGATAATTTTCCCATCACATTTATTCTCACGTGAATCAGATTAATGTTTCCAACTCGTAAGTATACAATGTCTCATTGTGTACATTGTGACGATGAACAAAGAATCTTGCTCTCGATCTCAAGTCACGTGTGATATGAAAGCGTGATATGATCTGGTAGCATTGTGAATTTAATCGCAAACATTTCAGTTGTTTTGTTTTGTGGAAGTGCATTAAAAAACATAATAATCAGCAGTTCAGCGATGTTTTACTGCCATTTGCAACGGTTTCTGATTTTTTTTTATCGTCATCAAACTGTCATTATTCATGTGATAAAAACATAATTAACATGAGAGTCAAATTTGATTGCGACTTGTTGTATTCATTAAGATGAAATAAAGAATTTAGATGTCAACGTCATGATTATTAATTGATATTTGCAGATAATCTCTCAGTATAACTGCTTCAAACCGTCATTATTCAAGTGATAAAAACGAAATTAACTGAACTATAATTTTATTTTCGACAGAATTGAGAATTTTTTATGTAAAAATCATGACAAATTGATGAATTGATTAGGAAACGGGTCATTATTTATGTGATAAAAACAAAATTAACGTCACTATAATTTTATTTTCCACAGAATAAAAAAGTTCTATGTAAAAATCATGACTAATTGATGAATTGCTTGGGGAAAATGGGTGGATGACGTTTACAATTGGGGTTATAATAAAATTTTTAAAAATATAAAATTCGTTGTATGAAAAACAAAAAGTATAAGCAACAGAGTTTAGCAATGCTTTACGGCGGTATGCAACTGCTTCTCATTTTTTTTATCGTCATCAAATTGTCATTGTTCATGTGATAAAAATGAAATTAACGTGAGGATCAAATTCTATACTGGCTTGTTGTATTCATCAAGACCAAGTAAAAAATTTAGATATCAACGTCAGGATTATTTTAATTGATATTTGCACATAATTTCTCAGTCTAACTGCTACTCCTCTCTTTAATCGTCGTTAAATTGTCATTATTCACCTGAATAGAGACAAAATCCATATCCATATAAAAAAAAAAATCATAACAATTTGATGAATGGGTCAGTGCCATTACAAATTGGTTATAAAATTTACAAAAATATAAAATCAATTCTGACGCAATGATTCCATCAAATGACAAATAATTCAAGCATGAACTCGTAGTTATTACACCTATTCTACATAAACATTAATTGTTTCAAGTAATTACGTGATAATTAGAATATTTTTATTATACATTCCAGTGGTATTACACTTGGTGTCGATAATTATTATCAATCGATTGATCATATATTTTGCACACACTTCCAACGAATCTCCACTCATTATTATCATTTTACGTAGCATCAACAGCCGAGGTCATTAGCGATGACAAAAGAAATTTCAGTTTCAACATTTTTTAATGTTTTTTTTTACGAAAATTCTTTTCAAACTCTGTATTTTAAAAATACCTGCACGAGGGATACTATTTTTATCACGTGTCCATAGATCATCGACACGTCATGAAATATTATATTTTAATAACAAAAAGCCATTATGTCACGGTTTATTCGTTTCATTTGTGTTTTTTAAAAATACCAATGTAAAAAAACTTACAGAAAAAATTGACATACAGTTATATATTAAGTACCACATTATTGGGCTCATCATCTTTTATTTCTACAACAGTAATTAAAAAAGTATCATTATAAAAACATTGGACAAGTCCAAATATTGTTGTGTCCAATTGACAATTCATTAATTTTCTCTGTAGTATTGGTTAATATCAATTTTTTGGTTTGGTAACTAGTCTACATTCTAATAACTGCCAATTATATTTTCCCTCGGTATATTCGATAGATTATTAAAATTATTAAAAACAACTGAAATTAATTAAAAATCAATTTTGTGCGTTTAAAATATAAAATTAGAATTAAGTATACATGAAATCAATTTTTTTTAAATTTTCCGAATAAAATGAAGAGGTGAGATTGAATACTGCCACCAGTCTCTAGAGCCGCCGCTTATCGAACCAATGATATTTAATTAAGCATTATATCAGATTATTTGCTCGATATTATAATGACATCTGGGTGTCATGGAAGCATTCTTGCAATTCATTTTTCACTTTAATTTATAATTGGTACATTTTTATAAAGATATTTTCCTCCTCTTATTTAAAATTTATTTATAGCATTTTCATACGTCTCTTGCTCTACCCCAGGTATTCTCTCGTCTCATTCGATGAACAATGAGACGGGAAAATGCCAACTCCAATGATTTTGAAGGCCAACGTCCTTGATCATGATTATTGATAGTTTTAATGAAAAAGAAAAAAAAACAATTCTGGCAGTGGTTTTGTCGTAAGTAATGACGATCCTTAAATCGATCGAAATATTATCCGATTAAGTATTGCCATAGGTGCACTGTACTTGGAGACACTTTATCAATTATATCAATAGTCCATTTTTTTTTGTCAATAAGCTTTTCAAGTTGTAGGCAGTCCCTTATTACTTAGAAAAATGGCACTGATTGCTGGGGAAACATGTCACTAATATCACCATCTGTTGCACCCGAAAAAATCAAGCTTTATTTTGAGATTTGTTAGTATTGTCTATTGAAAGAAAATTGAAAGTTAATGGGTAATATTCCAATAATTTTCAGCAGAATCAATCTTGAAATGACCATAAGATAAAAATTTCACAATTTATTTGAGTTTTATTTTCAAATCAAGACTTTCAAATCAATTTTTGTCAAAATATTGAAACAAGGCTTGTTTTTTCATTTTGGGTATTGAATTAATTATTAAAATGGGAAATTAATGCTTTCTATTTTTCGTTAAGATGAGAAAAATTTCATTAATTTTACTACTGACGGTATGCGTTCTGACTGTCGGTGTTTTTTTTCTTTCGATGATTTTTTTGGCTTTTAGTCTTGCTTGAGTTTGAGTCTCCGAGCATCGTTGGTATGTGATTATTTCTTCGTGAATGTGACTTATTTTGTTAGGGTGGCACGTAGGGCGGTGGCTTTCTGTATGTTGGCGTTGGTTTCGGCCGATTCTGACGATTATTGTCGGATGTACGGGCGAATGGGGGAGGGGGTTGATATGGCTCCTCTGAATTTTCTTTTGGTAACATTGGCTGATCAGCACCGTCGTCTGATTTTTGATACTCAGGGGGTGGCAGAGGAGGCTTCTCCTCCTTCAGGATAACTGGTGATTTGTTGCCTACAAGAAGTTAACAAACTAATTGATTCATTTTTTTAGAAAGTAGAAAAAAAACATATGTTATCATTTAGTTTTGTTGTTGAGTATCAAGAGAGATAACACTCACATGCTTCAGTCCATTAAATATTGGACAGCACGTGAGATTAGAATTGAAAATAGTTTGACTTTAATGTACTTTGTTTACATTTACTTAGGAGATTAATACGACTTGATGATAAATGAAAATTTGATAACAAAATCTCGCAAAAACAGCAAGAAAATAGCCCCAATTACCTGGATCAGGTTTCTCCTCCAGTTCATCCTGGAATATCACAGGAATTCCCTTGCTCCTGAAACTCTGTCTCTCATCATCATGTTCACTAACGCTCATCTTGCCACTTCTCCTCCTTCTATACAAAATAAAAGCAATGATCCCCGCCAAGAGTATCATAGCAGCAATAATAACAGCAGGAAGTATAAAAGTGATGAGATAATCATCCTGGAATGATCCCACAGCTGTAGAATCTTGTGATGGTGGTACATAACTTCCAGGTGTGTGAACCCTAGTCAATTCCCCAACGCAAATACTCAAGGGAGTTAGTGTCACCTGTTGCACTGGAAACTCTTTCCCCATTATCTCATTAACATGATCAGTCAGAGATTTATCTGGCTTAACCAGAATCTCCATTAGTCTTTTGATCTCAGCGTCTGGACAATAGTTTGTTGGCAATGTTATGTTCTTCCAATTGACTACAGTACTTCCAGGAGTAATACCTGTAATTATTATTATTTACATTTCACATCATTTTTTATTCTATACTCAAATCTATACTCAACAGTAAAAATGCCATTTGCATACTTGACAGAGAAATTGCGCTCGTGTCCTTATCGCCAAAGAGATCCCTCAGTCTCTCAATGAAATGACGTTTTTGCATCGCTGAATGGGCGAATGAATCGTAAGGGATGTGAAGAGTCATGGAGAAATCGACGAGGTGTTGCTTCTCCTCCTCGGGCACATCAATTACAACAACAAGGCTATCAACAGCCTCTGCACCTTCCTTGTCAACTACAACAAGTTGATATTCCATTCGATTGTTCCGAATGTAGTCCTCGTGGAGGGGAACACCGTAGAACTCCTGGTTCTTGCTGTCAAACTGCAGCCAGTCTTTGGGGGATATTTCAGATCTGTCGATTTTCAAGAGAGACATCCTCATGTTGCGGGAGGAGCCGTCCTCATGATCGAAGAACGTATCCTCGGGGACTCTGAAGACCAGAAGTTGCCCGACCATTGCGTCTATCTGGTCCACTTGATTACGGGGGAGGGGGAAACGATTGGCCGTGGCTTGTTTGGGTTTCTCCAGTTCAGGTGGAACGACCACTGGCACCTCCGGCTGGTTCATATTGTCGCATTGAGCGTGACCCTGATACACCACACGACTGACACGAATCTCTGGAGAGAGAATTTGTTGGAGCATTGCACTGGGGTTTTCGTTTTTGTCTGCTATCAATACCTGCATCCATAAATTATTCATTTAATCACATGTTAGATTAGATTATATACTTACTTTCACTTGGATAGATAGATAGATAGATAGATAGACTTGACTTACATGCAACAATTTATTGATCTCATCCTTGGGACATTCACTACTCCTAGGCACGCTGTCATTCGCCCAAGTGAATATCGCCTGATTATTTTCAATCTCAATAGATCTCACTGTAATGTGACTACTGTCAGTGTCACCATACAGCTGTGCAAGACGCTGTACCACCTTCAATTCCCAATCGACATTTGTCGGAAATTCCGAACGCTCGACAATCTCCAGATAGATGCTGAATTCGTGATTGATCGATTTTGTGAATTTGTGCTGTTGCACATATATATCGAGACTGTCTGATACAGTGAGCCCTTCACGGTCTGATGCGACAATGTCATATTCCCATTGAGATACGTCATTCTCGAGAGGTCTGAAATACCAAAGATGACAATACCATTGTTAACACTCCAGTGACAATACAACAGTCATTCATTTCAATATTCATTCAACATTTACTCACAATCCATAAACCTCTTGAGTTTTCTCATTGAACTGCAGCCAGTGTCCACTTCTCACTGGATTACCCTTCAGTAAAAGTCTCAGTCTTAAATTCCTAGTGTCACCATCCTCAATATCACTAAACGTATTCGAGGGAATGATGAAACTTAGTGGCTTCCCAGCTGTCACCGGAATTTTCTTAAGTCTTCTGTCCTGTCTCGGTGGCAGATTTTTAATGCCAAAATCGAAACGTTCAGTTGTTGTCGTCGTCGTCGTCGTCTTCGTAGTAGTAGTAGTTGAGGCTGTCGTTGTGGATGGTGTCGTCGTTGTTGTACTAGTCGTTGTGGGCTCCTCGGTCGTGGGTTTTGGGGTTGTGGTTGTTGTTGTTGTTGTTGTGGAGGGGGTTGAGGTAGTTGGTTCAGGGGTTCGAGTCTCGGTTACTGGGGCCTGAGTCGATGGTTTTTCACTGGTAGAAGCTTCAGTTGATTCAGTTATCTAAATGAAATAAACGAATTAATCTGGTGGTTTTTCAATTGTTGGGGACAAATAGTGAAAATAATTGAACAACTTGACATTGGGAAATGAAAATCTCCTTAACATTAAACGAATAATTCATGAAAAGCATCAGAGAACAAAGCAATCCAAAGCAATAAAAGCCTTTTGTTTTTTCAATCAACTTTAGCATTTAATATTCATTGGGTATTATATTAAGTATATTATTATTCAAATAATCACTGCTTCTATCAATTCCTCCCTTGATCGTCTTTTTCCATAATTTTTTTACTCTGGGTAACAAAATTCTCCTTAACATTGAACGAATAATTCATAATAAGCATAAGAGAATAATTTAGCTCGAAAGAATAATAATAATAATAAGAAGAAGAAGAAGAAGAAGAAAAAAAAAGAAGAAGCACTCCAAAGCAATAAAAGCGTTTACCTCATAGATTGTACTATTATTGTCCTGTTTTTCCGTTGACCAAGTTACAATTCCTAATGAATTTGGCAATGTCGTTAATTCAGTTGATGATAATGTATCATTATCCGTTGATATCGTCGCCAAGACAGTCTCTAACTCAGCTCTTATTGTATTTATTAACGTTGAATTATCTTGCGTTAATTCCGTTTGTATGATATCACCTGGAGTTGTGAATGTTTCAGTAACATTCAATGTTGTTGATTCGGCTGATGTCGTGGTTGTTATTGTTGATGTTTTTGGTGGTGGTGGTGGTGGTGGTGGCACATCGGCAACAGTTGTTGTTGATGTTGCTGGTTGAATCGGTGTTTTAGGAGTTGTCGTGACTGGTTCAATACTCGGTGTGGGTGATGAGTTTTGTGTTGCACTTGTTTGCTCTGTTGTTGTCTGTGAAATTGTTAGTAGATGCGGATTGTTCTTTGCCATGATTAACAATTTATTTTCATGTTAGTGGACTTGTACAAGACTGCTGATTTCATGGACAAATAGAGTATTGCAATGAAGCTATTTACAGATCTGAGGCTAAAGCATTTTTTATGGTTCTCAATCTATGATGGACATGGACAGATGGCATGGTTTATCAAGGGGACTCTTACCAATCTTGGGGCTGATGAGGTTGTTGTGTTGATGGTATTCTCCTGAGGATTACTGGCTCGTAGAATTTCATCGAACTTGACGCGTTCTTCAGTCTTAAAATTAAATATTCAATTGGAATTAAGTGGGAAAAACATTTTGTTGAATAGAAAAAGGAAAAAATAAATAAATTATTTCAATTTCTCACCTCCCAATCAACAGTTTCTTGTCCATGATGATGCCTATGTGGGTGCTCAGTCTCTGATGGGAGGAAGCCCTTGGGCTCCGATGCACTTGGGACATGGGCACGCGGTGGTATTTCCGTAATTGCTTCGTTATCGTTATCGTTATCGTCTGTATTATCACGCTCATTATCAGGGTCATTGAACGAGTCTTCGCCGTCGTAATCATAGTTTTCGTCGTAGTCATCGTCATTCTCGTCGTCATTATTACCATAATCACCGGAGCCTGTTTCTCGGCGATTTCGTAAGAGATCGCTGGTATCAGTTTTCACCCTCCAGAGGAGAACAGGCAGTTGGACAACTTTGGAGAGGGTGCCGTTCTTTGCTTGATAACGAAGTTGCTCTAGGATGTCTGATTGATTCTTCCACAGATGATCATCACAGCCGACCTTGATTATTTGATTTTTATACAATTTATTTGTTGACATTTAATTTTTGCTATTTGGAAACTCACCTGCCATTCAATGACACTAGAATCTTTTTCTTTTCGACGTTTTACATTTCCTGCAGCATACATGAAGAGATCATTCTAAAACATGAAAATGCTCAATGCCAGTCCTTTGAACGTAACTTTAATAATTGCAAAAAGTGATACAAGGAATAAAATATACATACGACATCAAGTCTCAAAAACTTTGCGAGATTTTCAATAGCCTCAACTTTAACACTCGGTCTCAGACTATCGAACCTTGCATCCAACAAAATAGTCATCACAATCTGGGCTTCAGACTCGTCACAACGATTCTATAATAATAGTAAATCAGTGGGCATCAATTACGTAGAGGAGGTTGACATGTGTGCTTGACACACATGTCAATTGGTATCAATCAGTTGTTAATGAAACTTGTTTAAATGTGCATAAAAACTATTCTTTATCTACAATTGATTTCATAGTTGAAACTCACTTGAGAATTTGTCTTCTTTATCTCTCGGTGATTCCCGTTGACAACTCTAATAGTGAAATTATCCTCAGCAGTGTCAGCATTTTTTCCATGTGCTTTGACAGTAATTCGATGCTGGCCTTCGTCTTTCTTGCTTGGTACACCAAGAATAGTGGAAGCTTCATCATCAAATGCTATCCAATAAGGCAACGGCTTTCCATTATTGCCTCGAATCTGCAAAAAAAGGAGATCAACAAGAGAAAATTTCGTGGGAAATTATCCCTATGTACGTCTTAAATGAAAATGATAATAATAATAATAATAATAATAATAATAATAATTGATTTAGAAATTATAAACTCACATCATAACTGTCTACATTGCCACTGAACGCTTGCTTCGGTATTTTAAGTTTAAAAACCTGTCCAACGACCGCAATACCATCAGGTATACCCCGGAATCTCCTGATCTTTTTATAAGCCTTGGCTTTATAGGTTTTCACCTCGTGACGAGTGACAACAGTTGGTGGTGGTGATGTTTCCTCGGTTATATCATCAAATACGAGATCATCTTCTTGATAATTCAGGCCGAGTGTCAGGGGCAGTAGCAGAGTCAATGCTAGACATGTCAGCTTCATATTTTCACCAAGTCTGGGCACCTTACTTATTGTGACATGCTGCTCAATCTGAGAGAGAAAAATTATTCTTTGAGACAATTTTTTCGTCAGGGAAATGAAGAGACTTTTATTCAATTTGATAAACAATTGATTGAATCAATTATTTTGATTTTTCATCTACTAATCAACCGTTTCATGTCCATGGAAATTCACTTCTGCGACTTTTTGAGGGTTTAAGAGTCAAACTATCACATGAGTCCACTTTTTTCAAGTACGAACGAGTCTTCTCATGAATCGAATTTTCCACTGGTGAATCTTTTGCCAGTTTCAACTTCATAACTTGTCATTTCCGAGGGATTCGTCATTTCGTTTCATTTGTGGAAATTACATAAGAAAGCATTGCATGATCAACGTCCTCAATTTCTTGCGTAATATCATATATTCTATCGCCTTAATGAAGAATCGTGGGTGCATTTCGCGATAATAAAAACGCCCATTGGTACGAAAATAAAAGTTATTGTGTAAACGTTTATCTGAGTGATTCATGAATTTATTTATGCTGCATTCTCTCAATTATCCGGTTTCACTATTTTTCATGTGTTGATTTTGCTATGTGGATCGCGCATTAAATCGTGAGAGTAAAAATTTGTACTCGGAGTTTTGCCGGCGATCCACTTAACTTTAAGTGTCCCAAATTAAGAACATCTGTGGAAATTGAACAATAGCTTGCTAGGCACATTGTGAAGAGCCAAATAAGAAATGAGGTTGCCATTGCGATGGATCGTGTGTGGGGAGGGGGGGGGAACAAATTATTTCAATCGAAGGCTTGGAATATTGTAAATTTTAGTTCAATTATTCCTTGAAAATTCGTTTCAGCAATTCTCTTTTCTCTATTGTCAAAAAATGGGAAATTTCACATTTTTTTTCCCCTCCCCTTGACAGGATTTAATGCTGCTCACGCGATTTCGACAACTAAATCTGTGGGTCTGAACGATATCAGCACGAATGAAAATCAGTAACTGAAAAGAATGAAAAAAAAAATTGATTAAAGCATCCCGTCCATTTAATTAAGAGGCGTCAGTCTCAAGTGGAAGAAATATCAACGAATGCATTCTCCAAGCTCTTCGAGAGTCTTCTGCGTCATTTGTTCGGCTCTTTCAGACTATTAGCAGCCTCCTGTTTGCCAATTCCATCTATACGTGTGTATTCGGACATAACTATATTAACGCATTGCATGACAAGAAACTTCTGAGAATGAGATTAGTCTTCGGGGACGCAAAAAAATTGCGTAAAATTATCCCTAAAATCTATTCATTGGCACAACAATCTCATTATTCCTTCAATCCCTTTATAATATATTAACTAGAAGTATTTATTATTATTCGTTCTTTCCACTTCCCCTCGCCAATGAAACTGTTGAATTAAAAATTTTGGGGTTCCTCGGGTTTCCGGTTCGATAAAAAATCACAGTGAAGGGAATTTTAATGAGAATAATGTGGAAATCATTCTTTTAATTTTATTATTCACGACATGAGAAATAATTGTGTGAGAAAATTTTTTTCAACTGCCAACCAGTTTGCGCATGACTCGAAAATATTTTTACACCCCTAGATTGCCCTAAATCGAATCTTCTGTTGACAACAGCAGGAGAATATTTCCGCCAGGTCTTTGCATACACATTTCCGAATGAATATTCTAGGGTGAGTTTAGACTATCGTGATGAGTTGATTGCGAATCTGCAATTGAGTCTGGCTTCATACACATTGAAATATCATAACTCCCAGACATGTGGCTCGTCAGTGATATAAATAAGTATGACGATACGCCAACCCTAGCTTCTTCCCCATTTCACTTTTACACTGCATGGGAAATGCTTTGTCGAGAATTTCGATGGCATTATTAATTATTCTGGAGATTATGAGATTCAATAGATCGGGGTCATCGGTCCCACATGACAATTCCCGTTCCCAAATACATGACTCAGAGCCGAAAATTTTCTATGAATTATGGATGATTAAAAAAATGATGAATGGAGCATTGGTAGGAGAAAATCTCTCCACTCCCTCCCACTATTTTTCCTGCTCTGAATCTCATTAATCAATGTTTAACCTGCATAATTGAATGCACCGTGTATTTACTTCATTATGCGCGCATAAACAGAGTAGATAGAGTGATTCAGTGAGTGGGGTTGGTTAACGGCATACGGCACCCATGTATGTATGTACCGTCGTCCCAGCAAATCCCTCCAACTAAACAGCAGCACCCGAGCACCGGCACCGGGTGCTCTTCATTGAAATATCAAACCCCCAATTTTTTTAATGAGACACGAATAATAACTGGGCTGTGAATGATTTAGAGAATTGGAGAGGAAATGTGGCTGGCCCAACCCAGCCATCGGGTTTTCGGTTGATTGGGACCCATCCCACTTCTATTCGGCAAGATTTGATTTTTTATATACAATATATACTGTATAATAGATATGAGAGCATATATTTCGGTGGCGACTGACTGCTTCATTAGCGTCAATATCGTCAATATCTTTATGTCTCTATGGGAATTTCACTTGCGGAGGTCAATTGTGCATGCCACGGTTATTGTACTAAATTGTGAATGGGAAAGTTTGTAATGAGTACGGGGAGCACTGGCCTTTTTAGGGCATCAGTCGAGTGGATTTTACTCAATGATGGACATCTCATGAATCAGAGCTCATTCTAGAGTCAAATGTACAAAAAATCATTTTGAATTTCCAAATTTTATCAATATCTCCTCAAGAGAGTCAAAAAACCACCTCGAAAATGTCAAATTGGACTCTGCGGCGGTTCTCAAGTTATCGTCAACAAACCGAATTTTTTTTATTTACCCACCATAAACCTGCCTGCCATGTGGCTCTCCTTTTTTATCAGAAAAATAAAAAAGCCCATTCAAGGGATGTCTACAGTCGTAAAACACTCGTGTTACTGTTTCACATGACTCATTTGACTGTTGCACATTGTATTTGTCAAACAAAATTCCCTCCACTCTCCGTTGTTTGAATACCCCATTCTTTATCTATTCGGTCCCATAAAACGAGGGAGATTTTTTTAACAGTTTATGTGGCATTTGATATGTCACTCACCGTGTATTATGTGATTCCTTATGTTATCTTTTGCAAGATCCAATCTTCAAGTCTTATAATTTCCCAGATTAATTTAATTTGTATTGTTTTTCTCTTTTATCGTGTATCACTTGCGCATATACACAAGTTGAAGTTTAATCCTCCGAATTTTTGACTGCCTGCGTTATAAAAAATGATGATGATAATAATAATAATAATAATAATAAAAAGTAAAAAATGAAAGCATACACGGGCGTGTTATTTGACGCGGCTGACGGCGGCAGGATTTTCAGTGGAGAGAATCCGCCGATGCCGGATAGAGACGGCGTACTGGCGTCGAAAAACGATTCCCCCCACACATACGCTGTTAAACGCAAGTATGGCGTCGGCAAACGATAACTTCCCCAGGACTGCGCTGCTGGTGAACTAACTTGCGCGTTTGCTCCTCTTTGTTCTGCCTGCTTCTCTCTTCCCGTCCGTCGCCCCACCCATATACTATACACACCATTGGCATTCCTCTCCGCCGCGTGTTCACCCGCACCCGCACCCGCACCCGCACCCGCACCAACGAGAGACCTCCCTTATGCTCTTAGGAGAGGCTCCTTCCTTGCTTCTCCCACGCATTAAATCGCCGCCGGTCGGCAACTGGGGTTAATATCAAAGAATACAGCGTACCACCAGCCGGCAATCCTCCCTCCAGACCCCCAGATTTATTCCAGTAAGGGCTGCTGGTTTATAGCCATCGCTAGCACTTGCTGCTTTAACCTAATTTTATTAATGATGCTTTCGCTGCGCTAAGGGCTAAAGAGGTGCAGCAACAGGCAGCAGGACCACCTCGCATTTTTTAACATTTCTTTCAGTTCCAAGAGCAACAATGAACACATTTTTTCATCGCATTTTGACTGACAATGTTGTTGTTTTCATTTCCGCAAGATGAATATGAAATCTATGAACCAGAAATAATAGAATTTATTTCCTCGAATATGATTGTTCTTGGCGGAAAATCTCAGGAGGTTTTCTTGAGTTAATTTTAGAATATTAAAAATTCTGGAATTCGATAGCAGAAATGCCTCGGAACAAATGGTATCATATTTATTCTGAGACTCGGGGTTAACGTCCAATTTCTCTCAAACCTCAAAGCCCCCTCACGTACACGGCTAAGAGTGGATTTAATCATCGTCGAGCCAATATCCAGGCCTAAATTAAATCTGCAATAATTTCATCGACACCATTATGAATTTATGGGCTCAGCCTGGGCTCGAAATAAAACTGGGGTAAATTCCTCGGCTAGTGAGATGCACTTGATTCTGGTCTGGAGTTTGAAACTAATATATTCCATAAAATAAAGGGAAATTATATTTGCCCTGGAAAATTGGCTCATCGATGGGATTATTAAAGTCCACTTAGTTTTCAGCTGAGTTTTCAAAGAATATCATTTATTGAAAACTAATTGCAATAGTCATAATCTACTTGAACTGAACACGGCTTTACCACTTCCCTACTGATTTTATTTATCTCTGTCGCCCAAGACTGGTGAGTTTGCAAGCACGTAACGCGTTTTACTCGTCGTGCCAGAGTCCTAAAGTTATTTATATCGGAATTCGTAAGCGTATGACTGACTTGTGTGCAGCACTTTTCGAGTTTCCTTCGACTTTACAACTCTATAGACCTCGGGAGCTCTGAAGCCTTCTGCTGGATGGGGGAGATAATGCTGCTAACACTTGATACTTTCTTTTTTCTTTATCTTCTTCACATTGTAATTGTCTCTTGAATGAATCAAATGCGTCATTCTTTAATTGTTTTGCTAGGGTTCCATTGCTCAAGAAAAAAAATAGGATTGGGTGCATCTGCGAGGGAGGGAAATGCCTCCTCATGGTTGCTACGATTTTGACAGTTGTTTATTCAAAGCTGAAAAAAAAGGAGTGAAATAACACTCATTCATTCCTAGGGATGAATTCATAGAATAGATCGATGTTTCTTTCATTCAATGGAAAGAATAACAAAGCTTTTGTTTTCGTTTCCGCGTGGAAGCTGCCACTTCCACAACATATTTCATTCGAATTGTTCGTGTCTAATTGACCTGAAATTATTGAAAATGTGGAAACATTTTTATCCACAATATCAGAGTGGAATTAATTCTGAAGCCCACTGAAATAGTTGTGTTTCACGTGAAAAAACAGTCGACCAGTTCTGTGTTTTTCCCTCTCACCGAGGTTTACTTCTTCTCCTGTGAACTGATTTATATATTTTCAAATCAAACAGTGGAAAAACTCAAAACAATCTCAATAAGATGAAAAATCTAGTGGCTGGTCTCATTTTCAAATTAAAAAGAAAATTTGCGAATTATTCTCGAATTATCGACTTTAAAAACAGTTTCTCCAATTCCAAAAGATACATTTAGTCATGTAATGATGCAAAAAACATTCGACCAATCCGGTATTTCTTCCTCTTAGCCAGAGCTTATTTACTCACGCGTGATTTATATATTTTTAAACTGTGCAGTGGGAAAACTAAAAACTATCTCGCTCAGACAAAAAAAACACAACTGGTTAATGGTCCACTGGCGTTTCTTCCCTCCTCCATCCTCAGCTCTACGATCTCTTCATTAATTTTCGTTGAAAAATGAGAGGGAAGGGAGAAAGGTGGGTCAAAGGTACTGGATATTCATGGAACCGAGAGGAGTGAAATTTTTCGAGGGCAAGCATTATGCAGGGACACGGAAGTGTTTGCTCCAAAAAATATGGTGACTAATGAAGGTAATATCGTCGCCAAGTTTTCATACATTTGTCGGGGGCGGCAAATATTCCGCGAGTAGTTGAAAATCGAGGGGAAGTTAGTTTCACATAGTTCCCAAGTTTCTCGTTAATGAGAAAGTTTTTCCCATGGGTTATCACGGTATCTGTTAATTGTGCTCGTATCGGGGCTGGATTTTTTTTCGCAGTGGTCTAATTACCGGCGGAAATGGAGTTATTCCTGGAGGCATACGTGATATCGAATTTTGAGGAATCGATAGACGATTGTCTGTTGGGTAATACCTGGAGGAGGTTTTGGCTGGGTATTAAAGGAAGAGCATTGACATTTTGACAGTAAATCTAATTTTCCAGGAATATCTATCCAAACTTAAGGCAATTGGCGAAATTTTTGTAACGTTTTTTGTACGACAAAAAATTTTGAACCATTTGACAAATTTTCATCATTCATCAAATTTAGCAATACTTTTTTGGAAATTTCTCGAAAATCTTTCAATTAAAACCATCGCATTATTTCATAATTTCAGAACACCAAAAAACATTTTAAAAAACAATGAAGCATGGAATGAAATTCTGAAAAATTAATTTCAACTTTTTTATTCACCGGATGCATCTCATATGCATTCCTGCGCATCCCCCTAATCTCTTATGCTTTCATTCGAGGAAGTCCTCGTCCATGCTTTCCCAGTATTCCCTCTTCCTCTCTCTTTCTCTCACCGAATACCTCCTCCTATCCCTCGGGCATGTAAATACACGGAGTAGAGAGCTTAACTACTATACCTCCACGAAAACAAGAAAGGAGAAAAACTTATGAAAATCGGTGGATTCCACTCACGTAGATCCGGTCGCAAGTTTAGATCCTTTATTCACCCTGAATTATAATGATCGATTAGTGGTGATTATTTCGCAAGTTGTTGCTAAATACTTGACATCAAATTAATGGAGATTTTATAATTAATAATACATATTATGAATGAACAAATCGATTAATCATCAGTGTTGGGCAAGAATAATTTTAAAGGATTCATGCATAAAAAATGAAAGTCAGTCAGTCATTGTTGTTCATTAGTGAGGACCTCCACTACAATTCATTAGGCATTCGAATCTCAATGATTGTGTTATTCAACAGCAATCATCAAATGGTAATTCAAACAATTAATAATCAATGTTAATTGAATAAGAAAGCTCAGTGGATGGAAAAGTCTAAAAAGAAATCGCGACTGGTACTTACAAATCACCATATAAGGTTTGCACTGAGAGGTGTATGCACCATGCACCTTTTCTCGACTAATTTAACCTTACGAAATTATTCAGTAGACTGTCCTCTTTTTGTTTCGTCTCCACTGAGTTATGTAAAAACACCCAAATGAAATTATCACTGGACATTGATCATCCCCGGCAACTTCTTGCCAGTTTTAATTGTCGAGTTTATGGGGAGGAATTAATCACAGGAGGAACACGAACACCCGGTCTTCACTATAATAAAAAACATCCGGGATCACTGCAACAGATAACGCCATTTTCCCCTGAGCCCTGAGGTGTGTTTCGCTTTTTTTTTATTATTTATTTTATCAAGGCAAGAGGAGTTGCGCGACCATATCTATCCATCTGTCTGGGGATGGGAGAAGTTTGGTGGAGTCGACAGGGCGATTTGAAAGTCTTCGGTTGTTGATAGAGTAGATCTCCCGAGTGATGATAGTTATTTCCACCAGCATGGGGGGGGCTCCGTTCATAATTCCACGACTGCACATATCCCCGACTGTGCATAGACTTGTGAAAAGTCTAAGGGAACAACTGTACATGAATTCAACTGCACATAAAAAAAACTGTCCATAACTTCCTCATACCCACAAACCAATTCAAATTTAAAAATACCATACGTGCCAAATATCGCCATTGCGCAGCGTGTCCGCGCATATCAATCATGGCGGACGCTCTCTGCCACTGAGCGGAGGCTTTGGCGTTCGTTCCGTCTATTTTCAGTAAAAAAACGGTATTAAACCGGGAAAATAATTGCTAATAATGCCATAATCAGTTGATATTGACGGCGAGGAATGATTTTATCAAGAAATCCGACTTTATTATCGCTTANGAATTCAACTGCACATAAAAAAAACTGACCATAACTTCCTCATACCCACAAACCAATTCAAATTTAAAAATACCATACGTGCCAAATATCGCCATTGCGCAGCGTGTCCGCGCATATCAATCATGGCGGACGCTCTCTGCCACTGAGCGGAGGCTTTGGCGTTCGTTCCGTCTATTTTCAGTAAAAAAACGGTATTAAACCGGGAAAATAATTGCTAATAATGCCATAATCAGTTGATATTGACGGCGAGGAATGATTTTATCAAGAAATCCGACTTTATTATCGCTTATTATGAAGCCTAGACGTCTAAAAAGTACAATGCCAAATTTGCCACTGCGCAACTTCTCCACGCACATTCATCATGGCGGCCGGCTACTGGCAGAGAATGGGCGGTTTGGCGTTCGTCCGCGGATTTTCGGTGAGAAAAGACATGAAACCGAAAAAATAAATACTAATCATGCAATAATCAGTTAATATTGCTGGCAAAGAATGATTTTATCAAGAAATTGGACTTTATTACTGCATATTACAAAACCTAAGCATCTAAAGAGCGTGAACGCCAAATATCGCCAGT